ATCAAAATGAACATATAAGATTTGATATCTAATATACCATATTAATTTGTTATTAATCATTAATCATCACCTCTCATCTTTATATGATTATATTTATATGAAACAAATAAATCATCATATCATCTACATAATAAAAAAAAAGTAATTTTTTTCTGCATATGTCAAAATTTGAATTTTTAAAAACGCATATAAATTGTTCAATATATAAAGGAACAATTAAACGGGTCAAAAATTCAGACTTGAGTAATATATTTCTTTTACATAAAAATAAATTCAACAACAATTCCGACTGAGCAACGGATCAGAATTTGAATATTTATATTCGATTTCATACATTTATTTTTAAATGTATAATTTTATATACTACAATAAAAATTTAAATATTTTAATTTGCAACATTTAAAATAAGTTTTACTTGATATTTTTAGAGAATATCATCAATACTTAATAGTTCAAAAAGTTAAAAATTATAAATACTCTAATTTGATTATTTTAAAAAATATTTATAATAGATAGCGGGTTAAATATATTATATTATATAATGAAATGAGTTTTGATCCTTATAAATATTTGAATAGTTATATTTAATTTCAGATAATTTGTTTTTTGAAATTCATAATTTTATAAACTACAAAAAAGTTTTTTAAAGATTTTAATTTGGAATATTTAAAAATAGTGTAGAACATTTAAATATGGTTTGACACCTCTAAATATTTGAAAATTTGATTCCGCAAGCAATTTTAGAATTAACGAATAATAGATTGTGCACGCAATATTTTAAAATAAAATTTTGAAATTCTAAAATAAAAATATAAAATCTACGCACGGATTGATTTTGGTATTATTATATACTAAATATATGTTTATAACATATTCGATTATGCGAATAATTGGTAAATACCGTAATTATAAATCTCAAACAAATTCTGTAATTAGATTAGCTCAAACAAATCTCTATTTCAACAACCAAAGAATTATAAATTGAAAAAGAATTTTCTAAATTAATTCAAAATAATAGTTAATTTTCTCAATTAATTCACAATAATCTATCTTTTATATGCGATTCATTTATGATATTTTAATTTTTGATCTAACAGAAATATATGCAATCCTATTTTGTGGTTGTTAACATAAATTAACTCATTGTTCAAAAATATTACTTTTTAAAAAATAAAATTATTTTCTGTTTTCATATCTTTTAAAAAAAAATTATCCACAATTGAGTATTATAGAAAAAAATCTATATTTATTCTAATATTATATATAGGGACTGACAAAAAAATTAATATTTTTTACTTACTATTATAATATATTAAAACTTAGTTCTAATATATATATTATATAAATTTTATAATAAATAAAATTTAACCCGTACTTTAGTACGGGTGATGATCTAGTATATATATATATGTACAAACCAGCTTTGACAACATGGGGCGTAATAAACATTTTATTCTGTTTTTTCTTCATTTGATTTGATGGTTATTTTTTAAATCGAAAAAACACACAACATGTAAAAAATCTGTATTGGGGCAACGCTGGTTGCGATAGAAATGTAAACTGTTAAGTATTGGGCTTTAAAGGCCCGTCTGTTAAGTCTATCGAGGGGTTTATCTTGTTTATCATTACAATATTTTGATCTGACTTGACAAAGACAACTTCATAAACATTTGAGTTCTGAAATTTGAATCCAGAGGGTCCTTAATCTTGAAAGATCCACTCCAAAAAAACATTTTAATACATAGAGATAAAGAAACGTACTATATTAAGCTCAGATGCAAGCTGCTATCTATCAAAGGAAATAATTCCTAGACAATACACTAAAAACGAAACTGTTTTGCTCAGGGAGTCATTTGTCACTTGTAGGTTTGATTCTTCTTATTCCATGACTAAAGTTACAAACTTACGATAACAAAGACAATGATCCAAATTCTATGAGTAAGAAGTTAAACTTATGATAACAAGACCATTTCCTAAATCATGAGTAAATCTTCAACCTTACAAAAACTTGTAGCCATGTTTTGTGATTACAGGTAAGTTCCCATGCCATAATGTAGACTAGAGAATACAAAACGAAAAGTGGATCTACTAACCACGTTGTTTCTTCTTCAGACACTCTCACATGTCGTTGCTTTTATTAGGATTCCTTTGACTTTCTAAAACAACATCTTGAGAAATAGCAGAACCTGAAACCTCTGCAAAGTCCTCTTACATGTTACATATAGCATTGAAACATAGGAAAATAACTCAAGCAGAGAGACAGAAGCGAGAAGGACATACCATAGAAAAACTAGATCAAGACAAGACCTCTTCACCAGAAACACTAAGACAACATATCCAAAAGGCTCTTGTCCAATTTACCAGCTGATACCATATTAACAACCATTTTCATGGTGTTTGCATCACGACAGAACCCGTTGCTTCGCATCTCACTGATAAGTTCAGCTGATGTAGCTATTTCCCCAGCTCTAAGACATCCTCTGATTAGTGTATTATATGTGCAATCATCTGGTACATGTCCATTGTCCTTCATTTTCTGGAATAATGCATTTGCTTCTGAGATTGCACTTTTTCCACAGAATCCAGATTTCATTATATTGTAAGTTTGAACATCAGGCTCCACACCATCGATGGGCAGACTACAGAATAAGTCCCATGCTTCGTCCACCTTACCACCCTTGCACATTCCATGGATGATGATGCTATAAGTAACAGTATCAAGATCAATCTTACTCTTTTGGATAACCTCAAACAATTCCAGTGCCTCTTCTAGTTTCGCATTTTCGCAGAAACCATACAACAAAATGTTACAAGTAATGGTACCAGGACACACACCCTGAGAAATCATCTCCTGGAAAAGGTCTTGTGCAGAACCAAGATTGCCCAATTGACAGAACCCGTGAATTAGAGTGTTGTAAGTAATTGTATCAGCAACTAGTCCTCTTCTAGACATCTCGTGGAAAAGTTGCATCCCATCGTCAACCCTCTTAGCCCTACAGTATCCTTCAATGAGAGTATTAAAACTCACTATGTTTGGAGAGCAGTCCTTATTAGCCATCAAATCAAACATGCGTTTCGCATCATCTAGACGATCATGCTTGCAAAATCCATCAATCATTGAGTTATAGGTAACTGTATTAGGATATATACCCCTATGGTGCATCTCGTCCCAAAATTTTTCAGCCTCAATGAACTTCCCTTCTTTGACTGATGCACTGATCAATGCATTGAAAGTTACAACATCAGGATTGATCTCCATCTCAATCATATCACGCAACAATCTTTGGGCATCACTCCATCTACCAAAGCTACAATAACCGTCTATCATACAGGTGTAGGTAAACACATCTGGCACAATTCCTTTATCGTGCATTTCACTGAATAGATTTTGAGCATCGCAATGATGCCCGTCTTTGCAAAAACGATCCATGATGGCATTATAAGTAACCACGTTGGCTTTGATGCGGTTTTGCTCCATCTTCTTTAACAGATTCAAGGCCGAAACAGTGTCACCCATCTTACACATGCCATTTACAATTGTATTATAAGTAACAACATCAGGGTGTAGACCTTTTTCTACCATCTTATTGACCAAAGCTACTGTTTCGAGAACTCGACCTTCTAGGCAGAGACCGTTCATTAGCGTGTTGAATGTGAAGACATTTGGTGTTAATCCAATTTCAACCATTCGATCAAACAGAGCTACTGCTTCAAGAACTCGACCCTCGCGGGAAAGACCGTTCATTAGTGTGGTAAAAGTTACGACATTGGGTTGACATCCAGTTTCAACCATATGATCAAATAAAGCCACTGCTTCAGAAATCCGATCTTCGAGACATAACCCGTGGAGCAGCGTGTTAAACGTAACAACATCGGGCTGGAAACCAAGTTTGGTGATCTTCCCGAATGTAGACAAAGCAAAAGACAACTTATGACAGTCGCAGAAACACTTTATGAGAATACTGAAGCTGTAGATATCAAGTGGAATCCTCCGTATTTCCATCTTCCGATACAGAGAAATCGAAACATCGGATCGATCCATCTTCACGAAGACACCAATCACTTTATTGAAATCAATTGCTGAATACAAGGGACGAGATCTAACCATATCATCGAACAAATCGATCGCATCATCTAAGCTTTTAAGATAATGAAACCCACTTTTCAATTTCAATTCCTCTCCTTCAAATGATGTTCCTGGGCTCAAAGAAGGTAGACTCTTTGTACCTTTCTTGGCGACACGACCATGAATCTGTCTCCTACTGTTCAATCTAGCAGCAGCAGAAAAAGATTCAGCTCTCAAAACTCTAGCCAACATTTTTGTTTCTCCTGATTTTGTGTTTTTCTTTCTATTTTTTTTTTGTTCACACTTCTCGATATCTCTAACCATAAAGGAGTGTGTGTAAACAGTGTGAGCTCTGAGAGTGAGTGAGTGTACTAAGAAAACGACCGGTTCGTTCGGTACATTGGCCGGTTAAGATGAATCTAGTCGGACCTAAACACTGGTTTTGCCAACTAATAAATAACGTTTTTTTTTTCTTTTCTTTTTACATCCAGTTTTTTTTTTCTTTTTGTGCACCATTCTTTTTAGTTTTTACATCCAGTTAAATTTTGATTTTTGACATCAGTTAAGTAGAAGCCATTGAAGTTAATATCGTTCTTCTTTCTAAATTTTAGAGAATTAAAAAATACCTCTTTTTCCCACCGAAATGGATTGTGTAACAAATTTCACTTCTACATCACTAATTTATTTAATTACAATTTATGGGAAAAGGAGTAAATAACAATGTGAAAGATGACACCAAAATCAGTATAACATGTCAATCAAAGATTAATTTAAGAAGTCATAGTTCTACTTCTACACAACTTTATGAAATCAATGGCAGAAACAATCAATTTCTTTATAAAACAATCAACTTCTGTAAAACATTAAATTAAGTTTGGAATATTTAAAGATTTATCATAATAGGATTCATGAAGACAATGGTATCCTAAAAACAGGATCAATTCATAGTTCATTCAAATTCAATATGCTATAAAATTTGGTTAAAACCCGAATAAAATCCACATAGCAGAGATTTAAGAGAATAAAGGGTTATTAACCAACAGCCAAAAAAACAATGCTTCGAGATTTATATATCAACCTGGAAGAATCTCAGATGATAATGATGATGAGAGAAACTTACACACTCTCTAATCTTTCTTCTTGTAAAAGGCTCCTTTAGGGATTTTGCTCATCACCTTACTCAAAACCTTCACATCGAACTCCACGTATTGCTTCTTGATCTCCCTCATCGCCTTTTCACCAAAGTCATCTACTTTATCTTCGTACTTCTCGTAAAGCACGGGAATCGTGAAGAGAAAAACAGTTGCTGGAAGCAGAAAAAAAAAAGGATTATATATATTAGAAAGAAACACAATTGGTGAAGTTAATCGATTAGATGCAATAAGAGTATGAATTGGTACCGATGTAGATTAAGGTCAAGAAGTTGCAGGAGCTACCAAGTTTGGACAAAACCCATAAACCAGCAATCACCTAACACATATTTGTGAACAAATGTTTAAAAAAACGAGACACCAGAAAAATCAAACAACAACATAATCAACAAACAGGTTTACCAAAAGAAACTTCTTGAGATCTCTTCCTGATGCAATTTCCCTAAGAACAGTAAATCCACGGTTGATCTCAATCCTTAATCCAGAAGCAAGCTGGAGAACAACTTCCTCAGGGATGTGAACTTCAGGGATATGAGGAGGTGACCTGAAATACAACAATCAGCTTTAACATGCCATTGTTTAAACATCAATCTCAAACTAAAGATAAACAATCATCCATTAAACTTACTTGTGAATGAAGGTAGTAGCACTAGACCACAAAAACAATACTGCAAGAGCAAGAATTGAAATGTGGCCAAAAAGAGTAAGGAGATTGTATTCAAGTAACTCAAATAAGATCCAGGAAACAGTTGCAGCACCCAACACTCCTCCTGATACCTTCTTGTTCCTCCACAGGAAAATGTCGGCAGCTGAATCAAAAAAATTGAATAAGATCCTCTCAGATTCCAGAACAAGCAAAAAACAAATCAAATCGTTCGTTTATATACTTATTTTCTCAATCTATATACTCAATCCAAGCAACAAAATCAAATCCTAAGTCTCAAGTAAGCATACAACAAAACTACACAATCGATGGCTAGAATCCAGATCCGATAAGAAATAGTAACTAAAATCGCTAATCGGTGAAAAGAGAGAGGATCCATACGTTTTCCGCCGCCAAAAACCTTGTGAAGAGGCTGTTCTCTTCCGAAAAGACGATAAATCTTCGTTTTGAGAGACGCAGATTTCTTATCGTCATCTGAATCGGAAGAAGACGAAGACGAGCCGTCATCGTGACCATGGATCTTCTCAGCTATCTTCTCCATGATTGATTCTTCGTGCTTGTGTTCTTCCGCCATTGTTAACTTTGAAACCTCCGCAAAAACCCTAAACTTGTTTCTGGTTTCAGTAAGCGATGAGTGAGAAACGGAGAAGAAAACGGAAAGACTCTTTTCAGTCAATAATAAGAGCGTTTGATACAGATTTAATCTCATCCGTCGATTTATTTAACTTAATCGTGGCCGTTGGAAATTAATAGCTTACTTTCTAAGAAAATAATTAAATAACAGTAACATCTTTGAGACGGAAGACAAACGACCGTCAAATATTGTAATCGAGCGTCTTAATTCTATTAACGTCTCCGTTAGTGTAGCGTTGAATGGGTCAGCACGTGGTCGTTGAGAAGGTAGGCTCGAATACGACGTCGTTGGATATATGGATCAAAGAACAATGCTACGATGAGATTTTATTTGGGTCAATAAGAATTTTGAGTGAAGGCCCAAAAAGTTATAACAGCTACTTCTTTTTTTCTTTCTTTTGACAACTAAAGAAGATTTAACCCTAAAATAAATTTTCACTCTACTTCACAAATCACAATGGGTAAAAACTTTAGTCACAAAAATATTGAGACTACAGTTTGATCCAAGAAAAGGAAGAGGGAATATATGAAACACTAATCTTCTAAAACCATCTATTCTTAAATGAAGTATCAAATCTTGAACTAAATCAAAACAAACTACGTTAAACTGTAAAAGTTAAACCAGTTAAACCCATATGATATATACGAAGTTGAATTAGGCATATAATGTTCAGGTGTTTGCTGTTTTATTACATTTTGTGAGCACATAAGTATTGTATAATCACTACACACATTTATATTAATTTTGTCACTAAATCATAAGTGAATATAGAAACATGTTATTTATTCTGTTGATGCTTTCTTTCTGCATCTCATACTCATATTTATTGTTAGTCATATAAGGCAAAATCATATTCTGGTTATTGGTCTAATCACATTAGCTTTTTTGTTTCCTTGATTTTTCTATAACTCACTGTGCATTTAAATGTATGTTTTCGGACCATGTTAATATCATTTGAAACAATATTATATACACATTCGCATTTAACTATAAAAAAAAAGTGTGTAGCTACTACCTAGCCAAATAAAATCCCTAGAGCTTACTATTGTGGCATCATGCCAAACAATTAGCCCGACAAGATCAGATTTTCTAAGGGTAGTAATATTCTTCTCGTGATCAACAGAATAAAGAGAGCATATAGTATAACTATCTGAAATGATTAGGCACCAAATAAAAATAGATAATAGGTTTAATCATTGAGTTTGACGGAAAGAACTAAGCTGCAATGAAGCATTTTTTTCTTTTAACCAGTAGTTTTAAGATTTTGTTAAATTAGTTGGAGTCGAAATTTGGATCACTCTCAATATATGCAATTCATTTACAAACATATATTCGTTATATTATTAGGGTATCAATCTCAACTAAGAACTTAATAACTACTTTATATTTTGTAGAAAATCCACTAAAGCTGAATTTCAGGGAAGCCTATCAAACAACGAGTGACTAGCTTCTTTGACTTGCTTTTCAAAGTGCTTTGCCCTTTTGAATTTTGATAAAGCGAATTAGGAGAAAGAAAAATATGTTTTATTATGACGAGAGTGTGTCCCATTAATTTATTTAGCAAATCATACTCTATATAAACTTATTTAATGAAACCTTAAATTAAATCTCAACTATATATGACTAAATTTATTAATGCAGTATGAATGAAATTGAACTGATCCCATGAATTGGATTAAGAAATTAAATGGAATAGAAAAGAAAAATAAGAAAATTAAATGGATCATACGAGATCACGTACACATGTATAGTGTAAAGGGCCCATCATCTTTACTGATTTTGGGAACTTGATGAGGCCCATTAAAGAAGAGTGATGATGCGACTTTGGGGTCTACATCCATTGAATCTGACGGTCTGAAATTTTTTGGCAAACAATGATGATGTTAATAATACGTCTTGGAACTACAAACTTTACACATATATTGTGCATATTTTTTACAAGTAGTAGTAATATTAAACATTATCCAGATTCTTTCAGAATCAGTTTAATTTGTTTAAATACTTTGTAGGCGAGACCATCAATTTTGTCGATTCCCATTTGATTAATACTATATAGAGTTAGTACTTTAGTATAATATTGAACTAATTTGTGTTTCAAATGCAAGATTTGTTTTGGGTTTCAAAGTAGTGCCAAAAAGGTATTTATAATGGATGTGTACTATGTAGAAAATAAAAGAGTACGTATATAAATACTTTAATGATCTCTGACCTTTTGGTCTGACTGTCCCAGTCTGAAAGTCACGTGACTCACCTGCTCCCTACGCTTAGCAACGCAACGCAACTCTTTGCCACGTTTTTTCTTATTTGCCTCTGCTTCTTTTGTTAAAACAAGGCAAAAACAAAATGAATTTACAAAATAAAATGTTTTTACAAATTTATGACAATTTTTTTTTGTTTTATTATGAATAAATTCATTTTTGATTACATACAAAAGCAGTATCCAAAGCTTGGACTTTTTTTTTGTTGTGTTTTCTTTCCATTCACCCATAGCTGTGTTTGTAAAACGTATTTTTTTTTCTAACTTTGCGTAAAAATTTAGTTGTTTTTGTCAACTATACTAAACCTTTTACTGTATCAAATCAATATCCTAAATTATACTGTATTAGTTTTATTCTGATTTGTTATATTTTTTTTACTTATAGAATCCAATATAATTACACCAAACAGTAAACATAAAAATTGGGATTGAAGTGAAGATTTTGTCCTAAAATTTGTAAATAAAAGTACTACTACTACCGTGTAACAAAAATTACTAATTATAGACTTATGAACTGTAACCGATGGTTATTAAAGACCAATAAATTAGAATAGTTTTTAAGTAGGTTTTCTTTTTGTCAAAATTGTTTCATACCATTTTTATGAAAATACAACTAAAAGCAATAAAGAACATTAATATTATTACATATATCTAGAAAAAATAAATTAATATTTAATATATATATAGCTTTCACTCTTCTCTCACAAGCACCGTAAACCCTTCTTTTTCATCTAAAAGGAGACTTTGAAGAAGAAAGAAAACATTCAAAGCTTTAAAAACGCAGCGTTTTAGGAAAAAAGAGTTTGAGAGTGATTCTGGCTTTCCCAACAATGGAAGCTTTCAGTCTCCTTAACTACTGGAAAAGCAGTGGTGGTGCTGTTACTTTCCTTCCTCAATCCTCCGATTCTTCTTCTTCTTGCCGTTACTCCGCCGGCGAATCCACCGGAACCACCACCATTGTCACCTCCGTTACCGAAATTGAAGATGAAGAAGCTGATGACGACAACGACGAAGGACCCTTCTTCGACCTTGAGTTCGCTCTTCCAGCTGAAGAAGACGAAGAAGAAGAAAACACAGACGCAGGAGTCGGAAGAGAGGGAGATTCCGATTGTACGGACGGTGGTTGTGAGTTCAAATTCACTCTCTCGTCATGTTCCGGTGGAGAAGATCGAGTAGATCCAGATTTTCTTGATGATGTTTTCTTCAAGGAAACGATTGTTGAAGAGGTGGAACCACCTTCTTCTTCAGAACAGCAGACTTGTTCCGTTAAAGCTCCGGCGGCGCAGTTATCGGCGTCTATTTTGAAATCCGCCACTAAGCTTCGTGTGTTCATGCTCGGAATGAAGAAATCTAAGCTTATTCAAGCGAAATCAGAAGCTAATTTCGGATCTGAAGACCTCGAGAAGAATAATCCTCCTCTTCCGCCGTCGTCACTCTCGCCGGAATCGCAACAGAAAAGTACGGTGACAGTTAATTTAAAAGTTGAAGAGGTTCCGATAATTTCTCTATTCACCAGAGAAAACAGCTCGAAGAACTCATCTTCGTCGTCTTCTTCTTCATCTTCTTCGTCTTCCTCGTTAAGGAAGCAAAACGGCAACGATACTGTCGTTTCAGATGAGAAACGATTCGTGATGATGCAAAAGTACTTAAAGAAGGTAAAGCCACTTTACATCAGAGTTTCACGTCGTTACGGCGAGAAATTACGACACTCCGGTCAATTAACCGCTCCGTCGTCGGCGAGATCCACGGCGGAGAAAACAGAATCTCCGACGACGACGAAGACTATTAAACCGGGAAACATAAATATCAACATTCCGGCAGGTCTTAAAGTAGTGAGAAAACACCTCGGAAAAAGCAGATCGTCATCGTCAACGGCAACTACACCGTCGTCTACGGCGTCGACTGTTACGACTCCGTCTGAGTCAAGAAGACGCGACGACTCGCTTCTTCAACAACAAGATAGTATTCAAAGCGCAATTTTACACTGCAAAAGATCTTTCAATTCATCTAGAGGTAATTAAATTAATTAAATCTCCATTAACCATTATCATCCAAATTTCGTTAATTAAAAATTTTAGTTTTTATTGAACATTTTTCAGATAAAGATCCGTCGGTGTTACCAAGATCGGTGAGTGAACCTTCCTCTTACGAGAAATGAGATAATATCGTAATCTTTTTTCATTATTAGCTTTAAGAGAATCTCAACGGTATTGATTTTCTCACATTAACAACTTATAATAATTATAGGTTTCTGTAAATATTTCTTTTAGCTTATTTTGGTCAGAATTGTAGCAGTAAGTGTCGTGAGTTTTAGATGTTATGTTTGGTCATGTAGTTATGATGACTGTTGGAACATAAAAAGGTTATTAAGAAGAAAAATAGACTTCTTCTTTTTGTCATTTTTATGTTAAGAAACAACACTTGAGGATACATACACACAATGACACAAACCATACTGTATATATAAATTGATTAGTGACATAAATGTTAAACGTTATTATGGAAAATAGTCAATTGGTGTTATTAGTCTGTGTCTTGAGATTAAAATTAAGGTTTATAATTTTCCCTTGAAATTATTGAAAAAAATATTACACAGAAAAAGTAGTTAATTCTAAAGAGGGGACAAGATGCTAAATATGTCATTTACTTTGTATTAGTTTAATTTTTGGGATTATTGTCCATAATGCCATTTATTGGCAAGAAGTTATGGATCTGCCATTTTCCGTTTGGGTTTGTGGATTTGCCACTTTTCATTCAACAAAAAGACAATTTTGTCCTTCACATATCCACAAAAATATGTAAATCCATCCTTGCCATCCAGCACCACAACGCAAACACTGAGTCAGAGTAAGATATCTTGCAACTGAAATCTAAACTAATATGTACATGTATCCACAAGAATTAATTACAAATATCGATACGACATGCAAGAATCTGGTATAACACATAACACTTAGATAAAGCATAACTGATATAAAAAAAAACTAAACCCTAAAGAAAATGGGAACAAGGGAACCCAAGCAAACGAGTATAACGCAAATTTTATATAATACACTAAACTCTAATGGCGATAAAGCAACTCAGATTTCCTTTCTCGAGCAAAGGAAGCGTCAAACACTTGCTAGAACCAATAGATTAACCAATTGAGTTAGGGTTAGTGAATGTTATTCTCTAGTTTTCTCTGCGGCATTTTATCGAACATCTTGTGTGCGCTGAAGATAAAGCAACATCTCTCTTCATTATATCAACAATTAACAGACCTTGTAGATTTGGAGGCAGATCAGCTCAAAAATAAACAAATAGAACAACCAATATAGCCACGAAAATAATCGAAGAGGCCATGGGTAACATCCGATCTCGAGATTCAATTTGTTGATGAGCAAGGCATCATCGGTCTATATTTTGGCTGCCAAGGAGGCTTTGAGAGCTTGGACGGCGTTCACCCGGGCTTCAACGGAGGAAGATTTCTCTGATGGCAATTGACGAATGGGATTTCAATTGAAGAAGATGGGTTTGTGACGACGATAAACCATTTTCTCAATCAAAAATCAGAATCTTGAAGGCAGGGTAATTTTGTCTTTTCAATTGGAGTAAAAATGGCAAATTCACAAACTGTTTGGAAAAGGACTAAATCTACAAACGCCACACGAAAAAAGGATAAATTCTGTAATTAATTCTTAATTTTTTTATATTGTTGTGTGAATGGTATATTGGTAATTTGGAATGACGGAAAGAGAAGGAAATGTGGGGCTTTGTTGGTAAGTGAGATGGTGAAAGTTGAGACAGAAACAGTGAAAAATCCAATTTACTTTTTTCCTCTCTTATTTTTAATAATGTGAATCTCTCTTTTTCTTTTTGTTTGCGATGGAGTATGTAGTACAAAAGAAGGAAGAAAACAAATCCATAAATTTCAAGTTCCCGTAACGTAAGTAAGATTCTATTATATAGAAACAAAACTTGTCTCTAGATCAATAATTCACAATAATATTGCACACGGTTACAAAATGCATGGTTATTTTTTCAGTGAAGTGTCTTATTCAATGTTTGTAGACAAAAATAAATCTCTTTATTTTTTCAAAATAAAATGTTGCACGAAAAATAGACAAAATTAAATTACGTAATTAGGATATACCGCTATCTTTAATGTTGTAAATCATAGAAAGTAGAAATGTATTGAAAAGTAAATAATTAATTAGAACATATGTGACCTGTTTGAATTTTATGGGCCAGGTTGATCGAAATGCCTAAGCCCAAATATAGCTATTCTAATTGACCCACCGGTTTCAATATTGTCCAAGTTTCTATTTGGTTCTCTACAAAAACAAATACCCACCAGAATTGCTTAACCAAATTGAACCAACTCGTTTCTGATAAGAAAAGGAAAACACAGGAGAAAGATGACAGAGTCTGAGTTTATGATTTTATTGATTATTCTCAGATACATACATTGAGACATAGGGTTTTCCTTACATACAATTGACTATGCAATCATAACACGACGGCTGGCAATCTTATCATTGGAATTCAAAGATCCAAGATAATCCCGATTGTTCATTGTATCCAAAGACAACTTTCTGGAGCCTTCTCTTTTGTCGATTTGCACAGCACACGCTTTAGTGCCGTAGTGAAGTATTGCAGGCATGGATTGATATTTGGGCCTTTCTTCACTTATTGGCTTCTGAGCTTGTTGAACTAATGTCTGGCCCAATTCTTTGTTTTGTTCTTCGATCAATTGCTCTGTTTTCTGAGCATAGACTGTTCTTCTCTGATTCCTCTTACAGTTTCTGTGCAGGTGTAAAGCATCATCATTTTCACATTTTAACACGAATTAAACATACCCCAAATCCGCCAAACTCAGCGAAAAATATAGCTATACATTAATTAGTGGGCGTATGCGTAATACGTATGTTTTACTTACTTTGCCAATGAGAAAATGTGAGGGATATGAATGTTTTGGTTTTAGTTTTCTTCTTGCTTACATATGAATCACAGATTTAGTAAGTGAATGTTGTTTCAGGTCTGTTCATGTTCATAAGCTCAAACTCCACATGAGTTAGTTTCTGAGCCTCCACTTGATGATGATTTCGATAATGTAAGTACTCTCTTTACTATACTATAGTTTTATGATAAGGATTTTGTTATTACTAACTTGATGTGAGCTTTCAGGATCTTTTTGAGATTGAAAGAAGCATCGTAGTTGGTGTGAGAAATACAAAGACACATTTGGATATTTATTTAGATGAGCCAAGATTAGAGATGAAGTCTTCTCCAGATTTGGATTTTTTGAGCTATTGGAAAGAAAACGAACATAGACTTGGTGATTTAGCATCTATGGTACGAGAAGTGCTAAGTATCCTCATCACTACCGACTACTTCCAAGGAATGTAAAGCTCTACTTTGCACCCGTAATTGGTTACAAAAATTTACAGATTATAAAGATAATACTCTTTTTGAACTAAGTGAAATTTTAATTAATTATGAAAGCTTTAAATTGTGGCTACTAAAGAAGTCAACGATGAAATTGGTAATGAAAATGGTAGAAATACGAGGAGTACTTTAGGAGTAGAAGGCTCGAGATCAAGAGATTCAAGCGTTCGCTGAAACAAAGCTGAAAGATGAAGCACCAAAAATTTGGACGTGATGGTGTGTTTTATGAACACTTCTTTAATGTTTTTTTTTTTCTGGATAATTTGTTTAACGTTTTAGAGACTGTATTCATGTATGTTTTGGAGTTGATCACTTCTCAAATGTTTTATATTTTGTTTTATCAATTCTAAAACAAGATTACATCTCAAATATGGTCATCAAAAAAAAAAATCAGCTAAATGTCAGACGGGCCTAAACGGGCTTTTAAAATTTAGCGGACTTAAACGGGCTCAGGCTTTAATGGGTATGAAACTAAATGGACTTTAATTTTTTTTGTTAAACGGACATAGGCCTAAACGGGCATGACCTAAATGGGTCGGATAGCCCGTTTTAACTGAAGTTAAACTTGATTTTGGGTTAAGCTTAATTTTGGGTTTATAATTCAATATTCTATATTGGACAAAACCCAAAGTTAAGCATAAGTTCTAGATTTCTCTAGAGCATCATAGAAAAAATCACCACCTCCTTAAGTGTTCTAGAGAATTCTATTAGATAGATATTTAGATAATTATGTAGAATAATCTAGAAAGTTGTAAGTTAAAATCTAGATATTTTAGTAGAGTTATAGAGATGATGGTAGAATAATCTAGAGACTTTGTAAGCTAACTTTGGAGGCTATAAATACCTCCTCACCCCCTCATTTGTAAAAAAGTTGAACAAGTGAATAAAAAAAAGTTCTCTAAGTCTCTCCAAAAGTCTTTCAAGTAATCTCTAATTGTTCTTCCAAATTTTCTATCATACTTAGAGGGTTTCTTATCTTGGTTATATCGGGTTTCTCGGGTATTACGGTCTTGGGCTAGTGCTAAGCACTATCGAGTTCGGTTTCTTTACATGGTATCAGAGCCATTCTAATCTTGTGCTCATCAAGATCGGTGTGATAGAGAACTCGGGTTTACTCTAAGTATGGAATCTATGGGTCGCGTTGTTGGATTGGGAATGGAGATCTTAAACCAATCTAACTACCGGTTATGGAAGTCATGTATGGAGTCATACTTGGTTAGTGAAGACTTATGGGATGTCGTCGGCGGAAGTAATACTTCACCACCTACCGGAGATGCTGCAACCGCGGAAGCGACAAAGGAGTGGACACGTAAAAATGCCAAGGCGGAGTTTGCTTTAAAGAGGTCAATATCCTCGGGAGTATTTGAGCATGTCTCAAGGTGCACATCCGCTAGTTCAATTTGGCAAGCGTTAGATCGATTGTTCAACAAGAAGAACGAAGCTCGTCTACAATTGTTAGAAAACGAGTTGGCGAATGCGAAGCAGGGGGAGTCTTCAATCTCGGAGTTTTTCATCAAGGTAAAGAACCTTTGCTCTGAGATCAATAGTCTTAATCCGGAGGAATCAATCTCCGATGCTCGGTTAAAACGGTTTATTATTCGAGGTCTACGACCTGAGTATACACCGTTTGTGACTTCGGTTCAAGGATGGGTTACACAACCTTCCTTGGAGGAGTTTGAAAATTTGCTCGCTTCGCAAGAATCACTAGCTGTACAAATGGCGGGAGTCAAAATTCATGATGACTCGGGGAGCGCCTTTGTAGCTAGGAGGCAACACAACTTCAAAGCTAAATCCAATGATGGTGGTCCAAGAAACAATGATGGACATGAAGGATCTTCTAAGGGAGATAAGAAGAAATTCAAGTGCTATCGGTGTGGAAAACTTGGGCATTTTAAAAAGGATTGCCGAGTCAAGCTGAAGGAAACAAACATGGCGGAATCAAAAGATCATAATGAAGACGACGAATGGGGAAAATGTTTTACGGTGGAGGCTGCATCTTCAAGTACATCTACACCTAAGAAGGTGGAAAATAATTGGATCGTAGATTCTGGTTGTAGCCATCATATCACCGGAGACGAGAAATTATTTTCTAGTCTTCAACGCCATGAAAGAAAAGAAGCAATCATTACCGCGGATAATTCAATCCATCACGTTGAGAAGGAAGGAACGGTGGTCATCAAAGGAGATGATGGAAGCCCAATCACTCTCAAGAACGTTTACCATGTTCCTGGAGTAAAAAAGAATCTTCTCTCCGTGGTAAATGCGGTGGACTCAGGTAACTATGTTTTATTTGGCCCAAGGGATGTTAAATTCTTAAAAAATATCCAAGAGTTAAAGGCGGACGTGGTTCACACTGGAGCACGGGTTAAAGACTTATACGTTTTATCGGCGTCAAACTCTTATGTGGAGAAGATGAGTACCAACGATAATGTCTTTATATGGCATGCTAGGCTTGGTCACATAAATATGACTAAGCTCAAGGTTATGGTGAATAAAGATTTGGTGAACGGGCTCCCAAAGTTGAAGATCCAAGATGAAGGCACAATTTGTGAAGGATGTCAATATGGAAAGTCTCATAGGCTTCCATTTGACTATTCCACTTCAAGGAGCAGTTTTCCGTTAGAGAGGGTCCACAGTGACTTGATGGGCCCGACAAGAACACCCTCATATTCCGGGTATCACTACATGTTGTTGTTCGTTGATGACTTCTCACGGTACACTTGGGTATACTTTGTGAAGGAAAAATCAGAAGTATTCTCCAAGTTTCTAGAATTTAAGGTTACCGTGGAAGGGGAGTTAGGTCAGAAGATCAAGACCTTAAGGACGGATAATGGAGGGGAGTTCATGTCTAAGGAGTTTCTCTCTTTTTGTCGAGATAATGGTATCAAAAGAGAATTTACATGTCCGCATACACCTCAACAAAATGGAGTAGCAGAGAGGAAGATCAGACATCTAAGTGAGACATGTAGAAGTTGGCTCCATGGAAAAGATTTGCCTAAGGCGTTATGGGCGGAAGGCATGAGATGTGCTGCCTATGTCATTAACCGGATGCCACTTAGTCCAAACAATATGAAGTCTCCTTATGAGATGGTTCACGGGAAGAAGCCAACGGTGAAGCATCTTAGGATATTTGGATCAGTCTGCTACGTCCATGTGTTTGATTCACAAAGAACTAAGTTGGAGGCAAAGGCAAAGAAATGCATATTTGTCGGCTACGATGAACAAAGGAAGGGTTGGAGGTGTATGGATCCTGAGACACACAAGTATGTTGTGTCTCGTGATGTTATCTTTGATGAAGTTTCTTCATACTACGGGCCACCTCAAGTCTTGGTTGAAAAAGATGGTGCAAATTCCTCCAAGATCGATGAATCAACTCTCCAAGTACCATGTGAGAGTGGAAGTCCTGGAAATAAAATTCAAGGTGAAAGGGGGAGCACTAACCAAGAAGAAGAAGAGGAACAAGATCATGGTTCAATGGTCAATCAACGGCCGAAAAGAAACATTGTTAAGCCTGCAAGATATAGAGATGAAGAATTCATCACTACTTATTCATGCTTCTTCGCAGCTCCTTTAGATGATGATGAGCCATCTTCTTATGAGGAAGCCAAAGGAGTTCAAGAATGGGAGGCTGCAATGAAGGAAGAGATGAGTGCTCTCAAGAAAAATGAAACTTGGGATTTAGTTCCAAAACCCAAGGATGTTGAGCCCGTTTCTTGCAAATGGGTTTATCGAATTAAGCGAAATGCGGATGGGAGCATTGATAGGTTTAAAGCAAGGTTGGTTGCTCGGGGCTTCTCTCAAAAGTATGGAGAAGATTATGATGAGACATTCAGTCCAGTGGCGAAGATGACTACGGTACGCTCACTCTTATCCTTAGCAGCAAGCTTTGGTTGGAAGTTATGGCAACTTGATGTGAAGAATGCATTTCTATATGGTGAGCTTGATAAAAGTATCTTCATGGAGCAACCACCTGGTTTCGAATCACGAGAGCATCCTGATCATGTGTGCAAGCTGAAAAAGGCCTTGTACGGATTAAAACAAGCTCCACGAGCTTGGTATGGAAAGGTTGCTCAGTTCCTTCAATTTTGCGGCTATGAGGCATCAAATTCTGACCCGGGTCTATTCTTCAAGAAGAAAGGAGGAGTCCACGTAGTAGTTCTTCTTTACGTGGATGATATGATAATTACCGGGAATGATGATGCAGAAATTGCTCGCTTACAAGAAGACATGTCGATAAGGTTTGAGATGAAAAAGTTAGGTGAGCTGAATAACTTTCTTGGGCTAGAGGTTGAAAGAGTAAAGGATGGAATATTCGTTGGTCAACAAGGTTATGCAAGAAAGATTGTTGAGAAGTTCGGAGTGCACGAAGGAAAGACTCGCACTACTCCGATGGATGTGAACATCAAGCTCCAACGTGATGAAGGTTCATTGTTACCTGATCCTCGACCTTATCGTGCTCTTGTGGGAAGTCTTCTATACTTAACCATTACAAGACCTGATATTGCCTTCGCAGTAGGTCTTGTAAGTCGGTTTATGCAAGCACCAAGGAAGCCACACTTAGAAGCGGCAAAGAAGATCTTGAAGTATGTCAAGACAACTCTTGGCATGGGCTTGGTGTATAAGTACGATGCAAAGATTTCCCTTCATGGTTTTACAGATGCTGACTTTGGTGGAGATCTAGATGACCGAAAATCAACTTCGGGCTATGTGTTCCTATGTGGAGACACAAGCATTTCGTGGTGTAGCAAGAAGCAACCAACGGTGTCGCTATCTACCACTGAAGCGGAGTATAAAGCTTCGACACTCGCGGCTCAAGAGTGTATATGGCTTCGAAGACTCTTTGAAGATTTGTTCGAGCCTATAAATAAACCGGTGGCTATCTACGGAGATAATCAAAGTGCTATCAAGTTAGCTAACAATCCGGTGTTTCATGCAAGAACAAAGCATATTGAGTTAGAACATCACTTCATAAGGGAGAAGGTTCTTGATGGAACAATTGAAGCCTTGGAAGTTCGAAGTGAGGACAACGTTGCGGATATCTTCACCAAGTCATTACCAAAAGGCCAATTCGAGTTACTTCGTTCGAAGCTTGGGATGGTTGACAAAATCAAGTTTAAGGGGGAGTATTGAAGTTAAACTTGATTTTGGGTTAAGCTTAATTTTGGGTTTATAATTCAATATTCTATATTGGACAAAACCCAAAGTTAAGCATAAGTTCTAGATTTCTCTAGAGCATCATAGAAAAAATCACCACCTCCTTAAGTGTTCTAGAGAATTCTATTAGATAGATATTTAGATAATTATGTAGAATAATCTAGAAAGTTGTAAGTTAAAATCTAGATATTTTAGTAGAGTTATAGAGATGATGGTAGAATAATCTAGAGACTTTGTAAGCTAACTTTGGAGGCTATAAATACCTCCTCACCCCCTCATTTGTAAAAAAGTTGAACAAGTGAATAAAAAAAAGTTCTCTAAGTCTCTCCAAAAGTCTTTCAAGTAATCTCTAATTGTTCTTCCAAATTTTCTATCATACTTAGAGGGTTTCTTATCTTGGTTATATCGGGTTTCTCGGGTATTACGGTCTTGGGCTAGTGCTAAGCACTATCGAGTTCGGTTTCTTTACAAACAATACTAGGTATGTACGTCGTCAACGAGGATGTGATGCGGATGCGCATGAATGAATGAGTCAAAAATGTGTGGTTGGAATCAATTTAATTCACTATTATATGTATCAAATTATTGAGAAATGTCTTATTTAATTCAACTCTATACAGTTCACATCAAAATTAACACCCATTAAAACTTTGATACTAGTATTTGCTTCATATACAAACAAAGACCATTGAAATTACAAAATCGCAAAAGCACAAAACACCCACCAACGAACAAAGAAGTCTTCTCAAACCGGATCACAAAAGTCAACACCGCATGTACGAGAGAGTGCCTTGTTCATCGGACGCGTCGTCTGATTCCGAGTCACAGCTGATTAGTCCATCTTCAGAGTCTTCCAACACGTCGTTAAAATCATCAAACTCATACCTCGAGTTATCGTAATCAACCGTGTAGCTCAAGTTATCGTAATCAACCTCGTAGCTCGATTTTTCGTAATCTTCACTGCCCCTGTTGTCGCTGCTTCTCTCCGTTTCGTTCGTCAAGATTTGTACACCACATTCAGTAATCTTGTAGTTGTCCGATGGGTCTTTGGAGCTGATATAGAATTCACACACTGCCTCGCTACTAACTTCAGGCACGATACCATGAAATATACACAGATGTTTCGTTCGAAGTCCCGTAGATTTCTCAGGGTGTCGCAAGGAAACAAATTTAGTGTAAATATACCATCCCCTGTTGTCTATGATACGACACCATAGTTCAACAATTCTGCAATCTCTTGGGTGTTGGCGATGGTTAGGCGAAATCACCACGCAAGCCTTAAACGTGGAGGATGCAGAAGATGTAAGAAGAATGTTCAAGGAATTACCTCTGGCTCTGTGATTGAACTCACTAGGCATTGAGCTTCCATGGAAGCATGCCGAGCCGTCAAGAAACGACTGTTGGATAATTACTCTCTGTGCTTCTTCACCTAGTTTGAAGGAGTTGCTGAAATTGAGCTGCGCATTTGGAGTGTTGAAAGGGTCTGTTACCCTCTCCAGTGATTCGCAGTCTTCAGCGGTTAGGAGTGTAAGCGAAACCGGCAGCTCTGGCAATGATTTAAGTTTTGTGCAGCGGAATAGACGAAGGCTTGCTAACCTTTGTAAATCTTTGATACAATCGGGAATCATCTCAATATCAGTCCAGCTTAAATCTAGTAGTTCTAGACTCGTGGGGAGATGTGCAAAGCTCTTGAGATTTCGACATTCTGTTATATAAATATACCGAAGTCGAGAGCAATGCATAATTGATGCAGCTACTTCTTCCACCCCTGTTCTCTGCAGAGAGATGCTCTTAATGGTTGTGGAAAAAACTGGAAAACTTTTCAATTTTGGGCATCCGGTCAGGTATATGTCATCAAGAGATGACAAGTTAATGTGAGTTGGTATGACTTGCAAACTTTCACAGTAACCAGTGTTTAAATAATCTAGTTTTTGAAGATTCCCAATAGAAGATGGAAGCTCTACCAAAGCCCGGCAAAAGCCTAGGTCCAATCTCTCCAAATTTGTAGCTAAAGAAAGATTTGGAAGTTCCTTCAAATGAGCGGAACATGATAAATTCATCTTCTTGAGATTCTTCAGCGGCTGAATGTAAAATCCACAAAAGAGAGGATGGACATTAAAACATAAGACACTTCCAAGTAGGAGTCAGTTTGAAAAAAACTGATCGAAATTAACCTCCACAAAATCTCTCGCTTGAAGCTTGATCTTTGTATTTTTTATTTACTTCCGATTTAAATTACTACTCTCTATGTTCCTAACAAATCCAAATTTTAGAGGCAAAAATTGATTCAAAAAAATGATTTTTAAAAATTTATATGCATCGTTTATTAGTCAACTGTCGTAAACTTCAAAATAGTAATTGAATACTAGGTTTAGTAATGTGTGAAAATCTTTAAACTTGGGTTAGTTAGGAACCGATGGAGTATATTTTAATTTTTTTTTTTGAAATTTCAATACTCCCTAATCCCTATATTCTTAAAAAGATAATTTTATATAGAGTTTTCACATATAAAAAACAATAAATGCTTTACTATATTTACATTAATTTCTTAAACTAAACAATCTCGATAATTGTCGACCAATAGACATTCAACAAGTTTATTTTTTCTTTAATGTTTCTCGAAATTTACAGTTTATGATTTAAAAATATGAAATTTATTTTAAAAATCACTATCTGAGTCGATCTAATATAGCTGTTGACAAAAAATAAAAAAATCTTTTAAGGAACATGTAAAGTAGTAATATTTTAGTCTTTATTATTGGTTGTCTAGTTTCCTTCTGGAAACAAAAAAAACTATGAGAACTAACCTGAGTTCCTTGCCAGAGGTACTCGAGCTGGCTATTTTGCATATCGAGTTCGACTAGATTTTCCGCGCGAAATCTAAGAGGAAGACTTTTACTTGGGTATGCATCCCAATGTAGTAACCTTAGGAGTGGTGGGAACTCCATCTCCTCAGGTATATCCATTCTATCATTCCCATCACCTCTGCTTTTGTAAACACTGAGGAAACGAAGATTACTCATTCTTCTAAGGGCTCTCTTGCTTATTGTCACTTCGTTAATCCCCGTTGTATCAAATAATATGCCAGACACAGTTCCATTACCCTAAAAAAGATTCGAATATAAAGAACTTGTTAGCAAAATAGGTAAGATTTGTTTGTTTGTCTCCCACTTAAGAGTAAAATCCAAAATATATAACTTACTGTTTCATTTTCAAGGGCATGACAGATATCTTGAGCATCAATTAAGATCCGGCGTTTGCAAGGCTCTTCTCTTTGATTGGCTTGTATGCCGACTTGTTGTAGCAATTTGTGCATTCTTATTCCCCCATCTGTAGATATGAGCGATTTGTTTTCTAGAATATTTAACCCGTGTTCGATATCTAATTTCTTGTCATCAGCGAGCATGGCTTTCACGAGATCACCATCTTTATTGTTGAAGAAGACTGCGATGTGGAGAAATAGAGATTGCTCATTCTCATGCAAACTCTCATAACCGACTTTTAGTACTTCCTCGATATCTCGATCAACAATAGTTTCTAGCCTGCGTAACATATACTTCCATTCGTCCTCATTCTTCCCATATAAAGATGAACCCATCACACGTAGACCCAATGGAAGGTTATCACAAAGCCATGTTACACTTTTTGCAAGCTTTGTAAAACCAAGACGGGGAGAGCTTTGTCTAAAAGCATATCTACATAAGATTTCAAGTGCTTCTTCTCTACATGGAAATTTTACATGGTACGTATTGTTTATACCATGTTGCCGCAGAAGATCTTTGTTTTCGGTTGTCACAATAATCCTACTTCCAGGACCAAACCACGTATTTTCATTAGCCAAAGCCTCTAATTGCTTTACATCATTCACATCATCAAGAATGATAAGCACTTTCAAGTCGCATAGTCTCTCTTTTATTTCACCTAAGTGGCATATTCTCATTCCACTTTGGTTCAAAATCTTTGAAAGAAACTGTTCTTGTAAACGCAGCTTCAAACCATACTCATCAAAACCACTATGATAGTTTCCCCTAAGGTTGTCCACAAAACAACTAAGTTGAAACCTATTAGAGAGCCGACTATGTAAAGCTCTGGCAATGGTTGTCTTACCAATGCCTGCAGGACCAGTGATTCCAACAAACTTGACTTCATCATAATCTAAATCTAGCAAAGACTCCATCTCCCTCAAATGAGCTTCAAGTCCAACCATGCCATCAAAATCCCTGGATGGTGTAACATTCAGTTTGTCTGAAACATCTCTTGCAATTTTCTCGATCATTTTTGCTTCATTGTCCCTAATAAAAAATATAAACATTTCCATTAAATTGTTGTGAGATAAATAGATCATATATAGAGATATCATTCTTCTTTTGCCACAGCTAATCTATTTCGAAAATTCATTTCAACGAACATTCCCTTAATCACTGAAAAAATATTCTACTCCACGTAGTAGTTCCTCTTAGCATCATCATAAAACACCATTTTTTTGTATTTTTTTCCTCTTGTGGTTACCACTTGGAACATAAGAAAAATAATTAAATTTCATTAAAGACATACCAGTTTAGCAAGTGTTCACCGGCTATATTGCCCACATAGTTCAAAGCTTGGCTCCATTTTCGCCTCTCCTCCTCTGTTTGACGACCACAAGTTTCGTTGAAAGCGATCCCAAATTCTCCAGTCTGTTTGCGCACATCGGATGGATCTACTCCGTAGAAGACCGTCATCACTATTTGTCCAATCTCATCCTTGCACTTCAAGATCTCCAACAGCTCATCCAAACACCAGCTAGAAGAAGCATAGTTTTTAGAGAGCACTACGATAGAGATCCTCGATTCTCTAATCGCTTGAGTGAGCGCTGGGCTAATGGTTTCGCCTCTCAAGATTCTTTGATCATCGAACATCGTAATTCCATTGTTGTTAAACTGTTTGCGAAAATGACTTAGAAAGCTTGTACGGACGTCTGATCCGTTAAAGCTAGTGAAGACACGGTATCTCCAAGTACGACGCGCAGAAGAAGAGGAAGAAGCCATGAGAAAGAGAGAAGCGAAGAAAGTTGAAGATCAGATATACAAAAATGTCTCTGGATGAGCCATATATGTAGGAGAAAATGCAAAAAGCATATTCACTATTCACCGTTTACTTTTGAGAAGGAGAGTACGAAAGTTTCTTTGCTTTTACGGTCCTTCAAAAATTATAAACAAGTGAATTAGTAGTAGAGAGAACCGGTATACCTCATAAACCACTGTATTTAATTCTCCAACTAAAGTTTAGTTTAGTGTTTTTTTTTTGTTTTAGGTAAATCGTCGTAATGTTTCAGTAGATGTCAAAAGAGTAATAGTTTGAAACCAAAATTTTTTTTAATAGTGGATGTATACGTACGTCGATGTGTACATGCATGAATGGGTCAACATGTGGGGCTTGAGAAGTTTTCCAACTTTATTTCACCATTAATGCATTAAATTGTTGAGAAAATTCTTAGTAATTTCTCATTCGTTTCTTTTCTTAAATGATCCTACAAATTCGTACAAATCATTTTTGTAACTACTAATTTTCTTTTCTACAACTTTGATATTCGCTTCATATACACCATTGAAATCACAATATCACAAAACCACAAAACACCCAAAAAACAACGACAAGCAAAGAAATCTTCACAAACCGGTTCGGAAAACTGATTAATTAATACTACTATTCACATAACAAATTTTGAATAAACCGACCGGTTAAATTTAGTCTCATGGTACAACTCATCACACTAACTTTCCATCTCCTCCTTCCCAAAACCTTAATCCTTCCTCTAACCTCAGCAACACTTCTCAATTCCAAAAACCCTAATCTCAAATCCGAATCCAAATCCTTAGTATTCAATAACCGAAACGAACCGATCTCAACCACAACATCGGTTATCCTAACCGTCTTATGAGCTTCAACTCTTCTCCCTTCAATCTTGGTCTCTCCCACAACACCATGATCAGCGTAAACAACACGTAACGAACTATCCTCAAATTCAAATGCGCCAAAATTCGAGTTTCTGATCGAGATATCACTTACTAGCGTGACGTTGAAGTAAGGGTTTGTTGAATTACCACCAAATCGAAGATCTCGAGTCGATATTGATCTTGTTTCAATCTCTGGTTTTGAAATCCGGAGAAAGATTGAAGAGAGGATGAGACAAAGTGCGAAGATGATGACGATTATTGTTAATGAATAGACTAGACATTTCCCTGGAGGTTCCTCTGTTTTCCGACGCCAGGTTCTTGGTCCGCTCTGTTCTTCATCGCTCCGGCCATAGATCGTCGTCGGAGCTAACGTTATCCGATCTTCTTCCACCATTTTTTGTTTAGATCAGAGGAAGAAGGAGAAGAAGAGAGGAGTTAATGTTAATGGAAGAGTAGGTGGTTTCTTTTTTGGCGGTTAAAAGAGGGATTTGTGGAGGACACGTGGCGAGATCGTGTTGAGTTAGAGTCTTACGCGGTGTTTTTCTTTTTCTTTTTCTTAAAAGTCTTTCTCGGAGGGCTTGATTTTTTTTTTGTTCCTTTAATTAGTTTATTGATTTATTCCTTTTTATGTGTTAATTTTGATTTTTTATTCGTTTATAAAAGCGAGATAGAAGAGTCTTTAGACGAGGAGAAGTACAACATGACTTGGGCTGGAAAAAGAAGAACCCATCATGTTGAAAGTTGGATAGATAGGGCCATGGCCAATGATCAGTGGAGAGCTACCTTTCCTGCGTCCGAAATTGAGTACTTAGAGATGGTAGAATCCGATCATCGACCAGCCATAATTAAGATAAGAAGAACAACGGAACATGGAAGGAGACTGTTTCAGTTTGATACACGGCTATGTAAGAATCCAGACTTTGAATCTGTCGTGAAAGAGAGTTGGAACCAATCTGAAGGCTATGCTAACAGCACGGTACAGGACCGAATCAAATGTTGCAGAAGAGAGATCTCTGCATGGAAGAGAAATAACAACACCAACTCGGCAGTTCGTATTAAGGAACTAATCAAAGTTATTGATGCAGCACATACGGATAATGTCACATCAATTGAAACGATCCATAGTCTGCGTCGGGAACTGCTACAAGCGTACAGAGAGGAAGAACTCTTTTGGAAATTGAAGAGTAGAAACCAGTGGCTCGATGAAGGAGACTCCAATACCCGGTTCTTCCATGCGTCAACAAAAAACAGGATTGCCCGTAATAGGTTAACCTCTATTGATGACATTAATGGGAATGCAATATATGGAAATTGTGAGATTGGTGAAGAGGCGGTCAGATACTTCAGTGACTTATTCTCAAGCACAAGTACATCAGACCCATCTCCAACACTCCGCAACATTAGACCTGTAGTCACTGATGACATGAATGCTTCCCTTACTGCTCCGATCACTAGAGAAGAAATTAGAAAAGCGCTCTTTGACATTGGAGCGACAAGGGCGCCAGGCCCGGATGGATTTAACGGAGCTTTCTATCAAAACTACTGGAAAATAGTGGAACCAGCCGTAGTCGCGGAGGTACAAAGCTTTTTCGAAACAGGGGAAATGCCGATTGATTGGAATCACACAAATCTCTGTTTGATTGCCAAAATTGAGCAGCCAAAAACAATGAAAGATTTCCGACCCATCAGCCTATGCAACGTCACCTACAAGATCATCTCCAAAATAATGGTAAAGAGATTGAAAACAGTGTTGCCATCAATAGTTTCTGAGAATCAAGCTGCGTTTATACCAGGTCGTTTCATTACCGATAATGTACTCATAGCTCATGAGGTTTTCCATTCGTTACGGGTACGTAAAAGATGCGCAAATTCATACATGGCAGTGAAAACTGATATCAGTAAAGCATATGATAGAGTTGAGTGGAGATTTTTGGAAGAAGTTCTTCGGAGAAAGGGGTTTGCAAACAGTTGGATCAAATGGATAATGGAATGCATACGATCGGTATCTTTCTCCGTTCTCATCAATGGCAGTCCGTATGGCTTCTTTAAACCAAGCCGGGGAATACGACAAGGAGACCCCCTGTCTCCATATCTATTTATTCTCTGTGCCGATGTGTTGAGTTCACTAATGACACAAGCCATCCGAGAAAAAAAGATTCAAGGAATAAGAGTTAGTAACGGAGGCCCTTCGGTCTCACACCTTCTCTTTGCGGATGACTCGTTATTTTTCCTCAAAGCGGATCATAAAAACAGCACCAACCTGTTACATATTTTCAAAGAGTATGAAACATCATCTGGCCAAATGATCAATCTAGAGAAGTCGTCTATAACTTTTGGGAATAATGTGTACCAAGCCAAGCGAGACGGGATTATGAGCACTCTTCAAATCCCAAATGTAGGTGGAGGCGGGAAATATTTGGGCCTTCCTGAACAATTTGGAAGAAGGAAAAAGGATATGTTCCGGTATATACAAGACCGGGTCCAAAGCAAGATAGATGGGTGGCAAACTAAATTCTTGTCAGCGGCGGGAAAAGAAACACTTATTAAGAGTGTGGCCTATGCAATGCCGGTGTACTCAATGAATTGTTTTCAATTACCAAAAGAATTATGTGCTGAACTTGATAGTATGTTTGCACGTTTCTGGTGGGGCTCAACAAAGGAAAAAAGAAAACTCTCATGGGTTGCTTGGAAGAAGATGACAATGTCAAAACAAAGTGGAGGAATGGGATTCAGGGAACTGCACCTATTTAATCAAGCACTTTTGGCAAATCAAGTCTGGAAAATCATACGACGACCACAATCACTCCTCTATCGTATTCTAAAAGGACGCTATTTCCGCGATGGCACACTATTCACGGCGACAAGAGGTACACAACCATCTTATGGCTGGAATTCTCTTCGATTTGGTAGAGACCTTTTACAACAGAGGATACAAGTTGTTATTGGTGATGGGAAAACCACTTCCATAGGGAATGACCCATGGCTACCAACAACTCCACCGAGGGCACCTAGACTACTACCAACAACTGACCCACTACTCACGGTGGCGCACCTCATTGATGAGACGTCAAACCAATGGAATGAAGATCAGATTACAAGGAGAGTTCACCCGGATGACCATCATCTTATTCACAAGATCTATCTCCCTCCCAAACCCAAACCGGATGCACATCTATGGAGCCCAACGAAGGATGGTAACTACACGGTCAAGTCAGGGTATTGGACAGCTACAAATCTACTCTTAGATGCTGACTCTCCACAACCCCGACTAGCACACTTTCCCGACATTGCTACAAGTATCTGGAAGCTAGGAATCACACCCAAATTAAAGCATTTCCTATGGAGAGTGGCCTCACGCGCAATAGGAACTGCGGATAATTTGCGACGACGTAACATAAACGTAAATCCTTACTGCTCACGATGCTGCACGGAGCTTGAGACGAGTGAACACATTCTATTTACATGCACATACGCCAAAAGAGTGTGGAGAGCAGCCGGAATACCCACTGCTCACATATGCGATTCTCACAAGCCGTTCGAGGCAAACTCCGACAACTCTTCACTTTCCATAATGATGAACAAATAGATCGCAGCACACGATTCTTACCCTTCTGGATACTGTGGAGACTATGGAAAGATCGAAATGATCTAGTTTTTAATCGCAAAGCCACAACTACGGTGGAAACAGTAACCCAGGCCATATCAGACACTAAGGAATGGCTGGACAACGCTACAAAGGCTGCAAATAGGAACGTCTCCAATCCGGTTACCACAATACGTAGAGTAGGCTGGAGTAAACCCCCGAGAGGCGTGCTGAAATGTAACTATGATGTATCACACTATGACGGGAACAGAATCTCTGGTCTAGGATGGATAATACGAGATTCATTTGGTACTGTTCATGATTGCGGATGGGGAAAATTTCCGGGTCGCGCAACAACGGAGGAAGCCGAATGCACAAGCCTCATATGGGCACTACAAGCAGCCTGGGGACTGGGATACAGAATGGTTGAGTTTGAAGGTGATAACCAGAATATAAACATCATCATCAATAGCACAACCCCACACCCGCGGCTGCAAAACTATATTGAAACAATATGGGCATGGCGACAACTTTTCACTCTAGCCACTTTCAAGTTCAAACCGAGAGAACAAAATAAGTGTGCTGATATACTTGCAAAGCAAGCTATTAGTTGTAATGAGAGTTGGGGTTTGTATCATTCTTGTCCGCATTTTCTAATCACTGCTGTAAATCACGATATTGATCCGGAAAATTAATAAAGCTTTTGGAAGGAAAAAAAAAAAAAGAAGAGTCTTTAGACGACGTCAAAGATTTAAATGTTTCAACTATCATCAATTGTTTTTAGAAACCTTTGAATTTGGGTTTTTAGTTTTTTCTTTCATCAATTTTGGGAAACCTACAATATCTAAATAATTTTTAATTTTGCTTTGAAAGCTAAAACATCACTTGACTTTTATTTATCTTCTGATGTCTTAATTTGAAATATACAAATTGGAATCCGTAGAAAATTCCAACTTTATTTTGACGATGATTAGTGGACCAATGGGCTTAAAAACTAGTTCGCATATGTCTACGTTTGGGCCCAATGGGATGGAGAAATGTTCTCATGGGACCTAGTTTTTTTAAGAACAAATCAAGATAGGTCTATTCTGATGCTCTTTTTTTTAAGTGACCGCCGCTAATGATTTATGATTCTATAAAACTTTCTCGTTAACAAAAAAAAGGTGATATCAACATGTTCGATAATTCGATAAAATTTTGAAAAAAAAAGAAGCTTATATATAACACATCATGACCCAAAAATACAATTTATTTCAATATTTTTGGTGATATAAGTAAAGCGGATTTGAATGAAATAGGAACCATATTCGGATGATCAAAGATAAAGATATGCAACCAGCCTTAAAGAAAATGAGAGAACGACTCTTGAGACAAATCTGAAATGAACCAGTTGAAATAGTAATCTTATGGTTATTTGTTCAAATAATCAAATGGTTCAAATGGTTGAAGTTTGGTCTCGTCTTAGTTATTGGTTTAAAAGGCTTTAATTCTTGCAACAAAGCTCCAACTCTTGCTGTCTTGTAACAATAGCAGTTTCTCACATAGACACCGCTATTGGATTGGACCCCATTTGATTAAATAGTTCATACACTAAAACTTATTTGGGTTTGTGACCATAAACTCCACTGGGCCTTAACTACTTTAGTCTTTGGAAAAATCTTTGGAAAATATGGGCTTAGCGGGTCAGAGATAATGATAATTTGGTCCATCAACAAATGTTCCAACATTGAAATAGATATGGTATGACATGTTAGGAAAAAAAAAGACATGAATGGGGGAATTACATAGAAAATAAAGAGGTGGTACATTATTTATCATGTATGTATACTCTTATTCATTTTATATATGATTCTTGTTTCTCAAAGGAAACAAATGAAGTAAAAACATTCTGGCAGCTATGATCACAAATTTTTTTTTT